TCCGCCCCGGGGGTCATTGATTTTCATTATGTACATATAGTGAAAAAAAAAATTGTCTGAAGGTTCAAGGCATAGAGCTTTGATGTTTGATATATAATATCATCTATAGGTCCTCTACCAAAGTTGTTCAAATGTCAAAAATTGGCCCTGCCCGGGGTCAGTGATTCTCATTATGTACACGTAGTAAAAACAGAAAATAAAACAAATGTTTTCTGAATGGGACAAAGCTATAGCTTAGATATTTGACTTGAAATGTTGTTTGGTGGACCTGTATCAAGATTGTTATTAAACCCTTGGGTCAAAATTATGCCGTGCCCAAGGGGACAGTGACCTACTTTCTTGTCCTTTGATGTACAGCAATGACATTTTGATCATGTGCACAGTTTTAGTTGTAAAATTGAACTTTGACCTAGATTTTGATAATGTGACCTACTTTCTTGTCCTTTGATGTACAGCTATGAAATTTGAACCATGCGGTGGCATAGCATTTTTCTCAAATGCAATCTTGTTTGTAATAAGCATATACACTGATTCTTAATTTTTCTTAATTCGCATTTTGTGTTCGTCAAAACATTTGCTTTTCGGATACTAAGAGATCATAGACGATCACGCCCTTCAAACAGTGTAATTATGTTATTTTGTTGTGATTAATGCTTCCGAGGGATCACTTTGTTTCCAGAATTTTATAATTTCTGAACCTTTCTCGCATCATACTCGTGTTTTCAGCATTCATTTCCTAAATTTTCTAGCACTTTCGAGCTCAAAATTATCAGGGTTCTTTTCTGAAAAAGCAATCTGTGTCATCTTTCCCTTTACTGTTTTCAACTTAGCGTACAAGTCATCCGGTTCGTCTTTCTCTTTGTTGTGATTAAGGCTTCCGAGGGATCACTTTGTTTCCAGATTTTTATACTTCACAACAGCAGGTGTCAAGTGCTGTGTGGCAGCTGTAAAAAGTTGCCCCGTACTAAAGTGTTGTTATATTTTTCTGGTCCTTCGGGATCATTGATGCCAGCGCTATTGAGTGTTGAGAATTGAGTACCGCTCAAGTCGGTGCTAAGGAGCGTGAGGGATGTTGAACGTTTTCATGGTCCCTCATGTACAGACTCAATCAAACCGAGTCTGCAATTCTCTTGTAATTTTGTTGTAATTAATGCTTCCGAGGGATCACTTTGTTTCAATTTTTTTTCATTAAACCAAAAATACGTAAGGAATCTTTAATTCTATCAGATTCTATCAGTTCAACAGTAGCTTCTAAGTAATCTAAAATAGAGAAAATAAGAATCCCTAAAGAAGTCTCAAACGGCAAAATTGAAAATGTTGCAGGCTGGGTTTGATTAAGCTTGTTCATTTACGGAACTGTCAGGAGTAAACTACCGTCCACGCCCCCTAGCACCGGCTTAAGCAGAAATCAACATTTAACAATGAAATGGCAAAATTTTGAATTTAGAAACATCCGAAGATGTTTTCATACGGCGGCTAGATGTGACCTATCTGTGCCATTCCATGAAAACCTCAAACTTCTGTTAACAAGCAAACGCAAGGTCTTTCACATCTGACTTTCATAAACAAGTTTTCAAACTTATTTAGTCATTTCTGATTGTTTTGGTCTAATCTTAGAAACTCAATACTTTATTTGGTTCAAGTCTTGTTTTAAAGCTAGACACTTCTGATGGAACTAAATGAATACCTTCTTTTACTACCTTTTAATCAGTTGATGTTTTAAATCTTAGATCGTCTATAACATTTAATAGCGTCTATTAGGTTACTTTTGGCTCTTGATTCCGCTCAATTATTACGGTCCACTATTGTGTAAGACTGTTTAGTAATAGAAAGAGCACCGAAACACGAGGCTATCTGATTTGTACGAGGGGGCGTAGCTCCCGAGTATAAATCAGATTGCCGAGTGTTTTGGTGTTCTTTCTCTTTTGTATCATAGTCAAACATGACAGCACGTTCTCTGTTGTCATAATATGAAACCCCAGAAAAAATTAACCAATGAACGAGCATTTGAATATGATATTTCTACCCCTTTCCCTTTCTTTGCCGTCACAATAAGTAAACCCCAGCAAAAATGAACCAATCAACGGGGATTATCTGGAGTGCGGGTAACTGATACCTGCACTCCAGTTACCGCACTGTGCATGTATATGTAGGCGATTTAACTCTGACACTTTTTTCAACAGAAAGGTCCCCAAACTATGATACAATATAACATTGTAACACTGCCTACACTATACAAACACAGAAATAGACAGCTTTATAAATGTATAACTGGATACCTGTATCAGCGGTCACTATGACACGGTACAATGCTCATGTGTGTATACAGTACACACACTGTATATATTATATAATGAATAAGGTTTAAACTCTTTAACACCAACTTGTATGTCCTTTTAAATCCAATTTTTCAGAAGTTTATTGCAAGAACACTAGGCAAAATAAATCAATTGATTCCATAAGAATTCATCCAGAAACTATGTTTATCTAGAAATGTGTCCATAGGACACGGGTGCCCCCACCGCGCCACTGTTCTGTCAATCTTATGACTCAAGGTCAAATATTTTTCAAAACTAAAAATCTTTTACTAAGTAAAGGGAAAGAACTTTACAAATACTGAATAAATCCACAAGCAGACCCCAAGATGCATAAGTACACATGCTGACCAACATTCTTGTAAACTTTCAGGCCTACTAGTGAAATAATTTTTGAGCTATGCATGGACAAGTTGAAAATTGCAAATTTATACTACTGTAAGTCAAGGGCAATAACTCTAACAAAACTAAAAAAACACATGCAAAGCCCTAGGTGCATAGCTTCACAGTAATTTGAATCATTATTCCTGTAATTTAGTGATGTTGAGCATTATTCCAGAAAAGTTTGTTGATTTTTAACTCAAGCACTCAAGGAACAAATAACAACATAATGAAACGGTTTTTACTAAGTCAAGGGAAATAACTTGATAAATCCACAAGCGAAACCCCAGGTGCAAAACAAAATATGCTGAGCAACTTTCCCGCAAGGTTTAATGACTCTATGTCAAATCCTTTTTGAGTTACATGCGACACAAGTTGAAAAAAATTTCTAAGTCAAGGGCAATAACTATAAAAAAAACTAAATAAATCCAGACAAAAATACTCAGGTGCACAACTACACAGGCTGATCAATATTCCTGTAAAGTTTCATGACTATAGATCAAATACTTTTTGTTTTTGAGTTACATGCGACACAAGTTGAAAATTGCAAAATTTTACTAAGTCAAGGGCAATAACTCTAAAAATACTTAAAATATCCAGACAAAAATACCCAGGTGCACAACTACACAGGCTGATCAATATTCCTGTAAAATTTCATGACTATAGATCAAATACTTTTTGTTTTTGAGTTACATGCGACACAAGTTGAAAATTGCAAAATTTTACAAAGTCAATGGCAATAACTCTAAAAATACTAAAAATATCCAGACAAAAATACCCAGGTGCACAGCTACACATGCTGATCAACATTCCTGTAAAGTTTCATGACTCTCGGTCAAATACTTTTTGAGTTACGTGCGACACAAAAGAGAACGGACGGACGGAAGGACGGACGGAAAAACGGATGGACGGACAAGGGTAAATCTAAATGCCCGCCACTAAAGTGGGGGCACAAAAATCCATAAATGTCAGATATTAATATTTTGTCAGAGCTAAAACAGCATGGCATTCACACAAAATAGATTATTACAGAATCCCTAAAGAAAGCCAAGCCCAACACGACAAAATTGAAAATGTTGCAGGCTCGGTTTGATTGAGCCTGTTCATGGACGGTACTGGAAAGTGCAAAAAATATGAAAAACAAGATCAACAAGGAAAGGCGGCGTTCAATGAACGCAACCCCCCATGACCCAGCAAGTCATGTACAAGTCATTTTACATTTTAAGCAAGTCACCGTCCTTACAAGTTACAAACTTACACATAATATTACTTACAGGTTTTTTATTGATGTAAAATTACATAATTCGATACACCCTGCCGATTATTCATAATAATCTCGTAAACCATGCATCTAATAGCATTTACTTACTATAAGATTACTTGTGTACAAGTGTACCGTCCATGAACAGGCTCAATCAAACCGAGCCTGCAACATTTTCAATTTTGTCGTGTTGGGCTTTCTTTAGGGATTCTGTATTTATCTATTTTATGGTCACATTCGTGTTATTTGTGCCGTGTGGCGGCTGTAAAAAGTCTCCCCGTACATTTAATCAATGATGTTATATTTTCGATCCTTGAAGATCGTTCAGCACGACATTATTGTTGTGCTAGTGGTATTTTTAGTTTAAACTTTTCGGCTTTTTCTAGATGGGTGGTTCCAATATTCCTACTTGAATAATGTTGAATCACCCTTAGGATATGTTGCCTGCTTTTTAAATTTGTCTTTTGACGTCTTATCTGTGATATGCAGGCTTCATAACATATGATACCCTTTCAAAATTCCATTTTAATTAGTTCCGCCCAATGTTTTCTCGTTTCGGGCACACGCTTTTTATAACTTGGGGACCATACGCCGCTTTTAATGGAATGGCACTACTGTGTCACATTGAAGGTTCCATCATAACCGTCGTATGAACACATCTGCGGATGTTTCTAAATTCAAAATTTTACTATTTCATGTTTAAATGTTAATTCTGCTTACGCCGGTGCTAGGGGGCATGGACGGTAATTTGCACTTGACAGTACCGTCTATGAACAGGCTAAATCAAACCGAGCCTGCAACATTTTCAATTTTGTCGTGTTGGGCTTTCTTTAGGGATTCTGTATTTATCTATTATTTGGTGATACCGATATTGTAAATGTCCGTGCATTCATGTTATTGTATTCGAGATTCTTATTCATCATTTGACAACAAGGGCCAAGAAGTGGACTACTCGTTTGTTTTCCGGTTCCATTTTGTAGTGTTTAGAATAAAATCATTAAAACCCTTGTCAGTATCGATTTCGAACCCTTCATATTTTTCAGAACTGTACAGAATATGCAGGTTTATTTGAAATACAACTTGAAAAGAGACCTTAGTTTGGAAAATGTCATGCTGGAACTTTATCATAGAACAATCTTTATCATCGACAACATTTTGATAAAACAGTCCTACATTTTATTCTACAAACAAATTATATATGAGCCTTGATGAACAGGAAACTGAAATAGCAATGGATTATGGCCATAATAAAAATAAATCTTTTCCCGATACAAGACTCCTGAAAATAAACTATAAAAAGAACCCGGTAAGCTGGAAGAAAGTTCTTGTTTATATCGTTTTACTTGCTAATGTTTTCAAAGGCTGTCTTATACATCTACGCAACAGAGAAGTATACATTTTGACTTTAACGTCAGCCGAGCTCTTAGTAAGTCTCCAGGAAGCTTCTTTGCGAAAAGCGTCCGACTTGGTAGACATTAACCATTTGTACAACATCTATGGAGATTGTCATACTTATGCCATCTACTGGACAGTGAAGGGAAATGCAAAAGTATTGCCAGAGTGTCTTGAAACATCTCAGTTATTTAGAAATATTGTAAATGAAAGCAAAAGAATTCAGTCGTCATCTTCAGCAATACTTCCTGTCGAATTTGATAGACTTTTCAGTGATCCTTCAGTAAGTAAACCAGTGTTAAAGAACAAAGACAATGGCATTACATACAATGTTAATGCTGTCATCGGAGTTTCCTATAAGAATGATTTAAATGGCAAAAGACGACGAGAAAAAAGAGATTTTCGACATGAGAATAATTTAACGCAAGATTCATTTTCATTAACACGAAGTCATTCTAACAGCAAGGTGAATGTGCCTTTGGAAGAAACCATATACCCATACACTGGGAACGAGTATCATAATGTTGAATATCCCCAACAGATATCCGGAGAGCAAGAAGGCCAAGGACAAAGCTCAATCGCATTTTCGAACGGCGCTTCGTTCCCAACGTTACCAAGTGATCAGTATGGTTTTCGTTCTAGTTTAAATCGAACACCGTTACCCACCACAGAAGCGTCCAGACTCGCTGGTGGACATCCGAGATATCCAGAGTATGTGAATAAACATGAACGAATACGATCATATGCAAGGTGGACTCATAGAAAGCCAGATCCAAATCAGCTCAGTGAAGCAGGGTTTTTCTTCACAGGTTGAGTAAATCTCTATTATATTAATATTCACATGACATCTTGGTTTATAATATCAGAATTTTGAATAAAAAGTGGAAAATGCTATTAAAATAATTAAAGAAATTTTAATGTTACCCAATATATCTACATTTTCACAAATCGACATGATTCTTCACCACAAAATATTTGTTTTCAAAACACACATGCTAACGTTTGTGGTTTAATCTAAAATATGATAAACAAGATCAACAAGGAAAGGCGGCGTTCAATGAACGCAATCTAAAGTTATTTAAATTAAATGACATAGACGGGATCTATCACTAACAAAGCAAATAAAGGTTTAATCTATTATAAATTATTTTGTTTATTACATCGCTTCTGGATTAATAATTGGATAAAATTATGCCTCGCACATGATAGGTTGAATAAATTATTGTAACCTTCAATTACAGACCAGAGTGATTTGGTTCGGTGCTTTCAGTGTGGCATAGGGCTCAAAGACTTTTCAGAAGACGACAATCCCCTCAATGAGCATGTACGACACTCAAGTCGTTGTCCGTTTCTGTTAGAATACCTTGGACAGACACAATTATCAAGTGTTTTGGTAACAAAATACATATTATAATACTTTAACCTGAATTTATGTAATCTAATACTGCCATCCTTTATATTGGAAATGAATACCGTAAAGACGAATGCGTAAAGAAATTCAAAATACATGTAGATATTTTGTGATAGATATACTTTGTAATATGACTCAATATGATATATACCACTGAATATCATTACCTCTACGTTAGGAACGTTTACAAAAGTACCCTATTTTTATGGCTTTGTTTGTTTGTTGCATTTTACGCCTTTTCCCAACGGTATTTCAGTCATATAGGCGGGTAGTTTCCTAACCATCGTTCCTGGAGAGTTACACCAGTACTAGACTACCTTCCTCCGTGCTTAACTACCAAAGCATCTCCCGGGGATCAAACCCACTCCAGAGAAGTAACTGGATTAGAAGTCATCGACTCTAACCCCTCGACAACGGAGGCGTATATATCTATGGCAATTGAGTTAAAATATCAACTAGAAATGAATAAGTTTCATTTTAAATATTTTCATTATAATCAGAGTAAAACGTTTATTTTGATAACATGAACAATAACATATTTCATGTCTTTGTAAAACAAATATTCAGTTTAATGTATTGGTAATGCATAGTAATGAATAGAAGACAATGTATACATGTTCTTGTATTTTGGATATTTTAGCAATTTATTTGTGTTTTAGTATCAACTGCAGGCACAAGATCCTGAACTAAACAGACAAAGACAATTTGAAGGTATATTAAAAAACTAAACTCAGTACGTGTATAACAATGGACCTTTCCGGTGTTTACAGTTTTATGTAAATTGGCTAACTTGTTATCCAATCGCTACACTGAGATAATACAAAGTCACTTGTTGACCTGGTTTGCACAAAAGAGCACGTGCTTATGTTTGTGATACTGTTTGTGAGCAGTTGACCTAGCAATGAATGGAAAAGGTGTGGCTAAATGTTCCGCTACGAAAAACCGGAAAGGTCCCTTTAATTACTGTTATTTTTATCATATCAATATTTCAAACATATTTGTTATCAACATGTAACAATTAGTTTAATAACTTGTTAGTATGTATCATTGTTAGGTTAATCAGAGGGTGTTTTCATGATAATAAACATTTAATTGTGTATACACATTTGTAGATGTGTTACATCTTGTGCAATCTTATTGAGATTTAGTGTGTTTGAAGAAAATAAACTTCTTATTAGACTTGATATAAGATATTGTTTCTTTTGGTATAGTCCTTCAGGTCCTTGATATTATATGAGTATTTTGACTAAAGATTAAATGACATAGATGTTGTAGTTGTTGGTTTTTAGAGCGAATATTGAAAAATCTTTAATCAACTAAAACAAATGCGTGTCAATGTGTTTCAATTTGTTTTAGCTATGTTATTTTCAAAATTATACAACATCTCATGGTAATGTGACCATCAAATATCTAACCCGGCATAATCTATGTACATAAATTTTATTTTGAACACATTTTGGCGTTATGTTACCGTTTTATTTGATATTAGTTTACACTTGTAACATGACATGCTTCTGGATTCAAAATTGGACACAATTTACATACTTAAACGTTGACTTCTGTCGGTGTTAGGGAGTGTGAGCATTAGATTGCATTTACCTATACGATGTATGAACTGGTTCACAAAACTGTGTTTGCAATATTTTCAGTGCTATTTTCAGACATCGGCGTTTTTTTTCATTCGTTGTTTTTTGTATTTTATTTGATAGTATGACATATTTTTCTCTCAAAATATAAGTCCGAGAACTGTCGATCTTTTCTGTCGTATTTCGATAAAATAATCGTGTATCAAGCATATATACATTAAACTTTGTACATGAACATCTGTGTTGGAAATATTTGCATACAGAAATCAGAAGGACTAGCCCAGAATCAAATTATACTGCTCGTCATCCGGAGTACCGAAATATAGAGGTGCGACTTAAAACGTTCGACAAATGGCCAAGCAATCGTATGCAAACTCCACGACAGTTGGCGGAGGCTGGTCTATATTACACAGGTAGTTTGTGCTGTTTCTTATTTTTCCTTTCCCCTTCCTATCTGTAATGTAAGTGTATACTTATTCTCATAAATAGAAATACCTGTTACTAATTCAGAAGAAAACGGTCGATTTCTGCAACTTTTTGCAATAATTTGAATATAAAACTTCTTTTCAGAATTCTTTTTTTACGTTTTGAATTAATATTAAAAATATATAATTATAGTTATCTTTATAAGTTTTGCTTTATTTAAAACAGATGTATTGATATATATTTGAGTATGCCCTTCCTGTGCCGGTATTAGAATCAAACGATTTCTAATCCTATTTTGGAATTACATTTTTGTCTTTGATAACATTAAGAAAACATTAACAATTTTATGGTTTGTTAACCATTAGTTCTATAATGCTCATGCTAGAAACTTTTACTAACTCTTTTTTATGTTATAGGATATGAGGACCATGTTCGTTGTTTTGCTTGTGATGGGGGCCTTAGACGCTGGGATCCAGAAGACGAACCATGGACTGAGCATTGTCGCTGGTTTCCGGCTTGTCCTTTTGCTAGAGCTGAGAAAGGAGATGATTTCATTGCATTAGTCCAAGCCTCTTCAAATTATGGAAATGAGGTTTAATTTATAGTACATGTTAAAACATTTGCAAAACTACAGTTTGAATTTTATTTTTTGTTGTTATATAATTTACATCGAGTGCTGTGCATCATAAAAGATAATAACAATGACAAATTACTAAAATTACAAAAAACTACAATAGTATGCATGGCGTAAGTGTAAATATTATCATCATCATAAAGTTCTTAACCTTATATTTTTATTTATTTATGCAAACCATACCACAGCGCAAAAATATTCTAATGAATGCTGGCAATATGTTGCCGACAGATATCAACTTTGATATTAAATTCTATTCATCATCTGGTCAATTTATAATACAATTTTAGGGAGGAGAGATTAAATTTAGACAAATATGAAATGTTACATTTAAGAATATAATGAAATGTACTAAATTTTGGTTTGCAGTTCGGAGGGAAAATATGTTTTCTAACAGCTAATTTTTGAAAATGTTTATACAGCAAGAAAATCACTTTATTTATTTAGCTCACCAGAACCAAAGGTTCAAGGTGAGCTATTGGTACCCAAGGCGGATGCTTCTGCGTCTGTCGTCCGTCCTCATGCGTCAACATTTATCTACTTCTCTGAAACTACTGGGCAGATTTAACTCAAATGGGTCTGTAGCATCCTTGTGACAGTCACACTTTATTTGTTCATGTCATTTCAATTGGCCCCTTTTAGGAGTCAACAGAGCTGAAAATAGAAAATCCTTTAATTAAAAGATCTTATACTACTAAATTAGATGATGGATGATCACCAAAATTTGTCAGTAGCATTTTTATGAAGTATTTTACCAAGTTTGCTCATATTAATTTGACTGGACCCTTTTAGGAGCCACTAAAGCTAAAAATAGAAAGAAAAAACTCCCATTAGCCAGCACTGGTATTTATCAATATTGCTGTTTCTGTACAAATCTATTTTTCTTCAGGAAAATGGTGAAGATTTGTCGAGTACAATGCAGCAAATGACTCTACGAGACCCTGTATATAATGCTGCCTTAAATGAACATAAAGACACCTGTCTTGAAATGGGATACCAATTAGCAGACTTTAATGAAGCTGTACAGGAAATAAGAGACAGGGGTGAGGTTCTTAATTTAATTGCATATGAATCTTGACTTTTCTTTTAAATTGTAACTATGTGATGCAAAAACCTTTTGTTATCTCATCACTTTGCCTTTCGGTTCACACAAATTATCACAGAGGTAAGTAACACCTATTAAATACATTAGAAAAAAACAATAATCATAAACAGTGAAAAAAAGAAGAAAATAATTTAATGAACAGTAAGTAATAACTAAAATTATATCAGTTTGGTCAGCTTGCAATACTTTCAATACAATGATCATTGATGTGATTTTTCTTCTCTGTTCTCCATTTCTATGAACTCAATATGTGTTTTCAAGGAACTGTTTTGCCACATATTGAGGAGATTCTCGATACAATAGAAGTCATCAAAGACAAAAAACGTCAAGCTCTTAAAGAGCGGAAGAAACAGAATGGTATGATAATCATATTAAATCCAGTGTTTGACTTTTATCAGTAGAATTTGTAACGTGTTCTGCTGTTATTATTTCGTTAGCAGTAGTTAAAACCAACAATACTCTTTCTACAGTCTTTTGTTTTGCATGATGGTCCTTTACAAAATAAACATATGCTGTAAGTATTAAGAGATAATTTAAACGACATGTTTTAAACTTAAATATTCATTATTTTATATAAAGAACATTTATGCTTGTTCCTGATAACGCACGTTTTAAGATGTTACAGTCTCAGTCCTTTTTCTTACACAATATCTTTATGCTACGATGGCATCACGTAAAACACTACAGATTGTTTTATTTTCAGAAACACCGATTGAAGAGAATCAACGGTTAAAACGTCTGGTGATTTGTATGTTATGTGGAACAAACAACGTAAATGCTTTGTTTCTTCCGTGTACTCACCATCGACTATGTATGACGTGTGCAGAGCCCCTTACAAGTTGTCCAGTTTGTGAAAGAAATATTCGACAAAAAATTAGAACGTATCTTGTGTGAATGATTGCATGATCATACATTGTACATCAATAACCAGGTGTGTGTATGTGTGTGTGTGGGGAGAGGGGGTACAGGGGGCGTGCGTGATCGGGTGGTTAAGGTCGTTAACTTCAAACCACTGGCCTCTCACCACTGTGGGTTCGAATCCCGACAGAAGCTCTTGCTTCTATATGTGAGGAAGCTGTCTTACAGAATGTTTGTGGCCTACTAAGGTGCGCGTTCGTGTCCGAAATAATGCAGGGAAGGGCACCTGAGGGTTTACTCTGCCATTAATGCTGGAAGTCGCCATATGACCTATTTTGTGTTGGTAGAGGGTTATATTGCAAACAACCGTTTATATACTGCCATATAACCTGTAAGGAATATTTATAAAGAATTTAGTAAATACAACAAATGTCCCTTTTTAGAGACTAAAGTGAGATTTCTTCATAAAATAGCAGCAGCAGCAGTATACATAAAACTATATAAACGTAACAGTTATCCCATGAAAAGCGTTTTATTTATATTGTATAATAAAACTAATATAACTTATTTTATAACACTGCACGTTTTAACGTAGTGATTGGATAATCGTGACGTTTATATAGTTTTATATACACTGCTGCTGTCGATTTATGAAGAAACCTTACTTTCTTCTCTAAAAAATGATGCTTGCTGTATTATAAATTCGTTATAAACATTTCTGACAGGTTATATGACCGTATATAAACGGTTGTTTGCGATAAAACCCTCGCCTCTTTCTTAACAACCATTTATATAAGGACATATAACCAGTCAAAAATCTTTATAACTTATAATATACATGTAAAGCTGTTGTACCCTTTCATTATTTGAATTGCTTAAAGTTTATAAAATACAACATAACTAATTTAAAAATATACATTGCTTATCCTTGAGAAAAATATTTTAATCACACAAATTTATTGAAATCTGTAAAATTCTTACTTAATATGTTTAATTTGATAAAAGAATGAATAAGCTACGTAAGGGAAGCTCCAGTCCCTATAACAGGTCAAGCAAAGCTGGTCTTTCCTTTAAAAAAATCCCTGCCAGTTGTGTGTGAGTGCGTATGTGTGTGTGGGCGCGCGCGCACGCGGGCATGTGACTACATAGTTGTATATTTATAATTTAATGATTTGTTTATTTGCTCGTAGTATCTTTACAAAGTTCATCAATACATGTGTATAGTTCAACCTGAAGGAATGCTCAAGTATGCAGCTATTAATACTAGTGCAATAGATCATGGCAAATCTGTTTGTATGTATATACGGTTATATGTTACACTGTCTGTCTGTTTTAATTTTTTTTATTATCTCTGTTGATTTTTCTTTGCTCATTAAGGTCCTTTAATATTTCAGCTATGATAAATACTTAAGCTAAAGACAATTGCGTAATTATATCCATATGATAGATTTCATAAACTCTGAAGTGTTTTGTTATATAGTTGTAAATAAATATATTATAATATGAACTTTGGAAAAGAAAAAGAAAGAATGCGTATTATCATTTAATAAAGCTTTGACCATATGCATTTCAGAAATAAAATCATGCACACAATTTTATGTTCATCATATGAAATAAGTAGCTCTCATTCATTTTCTTTCCGGCAACAGAGGTACATACCACATGATATCAAGATATTATTTTACCCTACAAAATTTATATAAGCGCAGATTGATATCACATTATATATTTGTAATATAAATCCATGATATGAGTAAAAGCACTCGCTTGAGTAAAAAATTTTTGCTTTCTCTTCTCTTTAAGGGTACTAATAAATAAATTAGTGTTATGATAGTAAAATGTACAAATAAAACAACTTCTAAGTTCACCATTTGCTAAATTATAATTATTCATGTTTGTAAGCAATACATACTATATTATAATAACTTAAACATTGTTTATCTATATGATGAGGATTAACATCATTCACTATGTAATATTGCAGAAAAAAACCCAACTCGAAGCTTAAACGTTTCACTACGATCAAAGTTTGACTAATAATGAAAAAGTCTCGGAGAGGTCGTGTTTTCTTGAATAATGTGACTTTATTAATTCTGTTGTTTAGGGAGTTAATAGAAACTCTGACTTCATCTCTTATGCATCAAATTCAGGTTGACAACACGCAAACAGAATCGAATATTGATAAGCATGCACGTCTTTCAAATATGCACATAAGACGAGACATACTTAAGTGTCTAATTCTTTTTTCTTTATCGAAGTCTATATTTTTATAAGTCTTGCACCTGGGTTTCAGTGATTATTTTCATTTTGAACTTAAAATTTATTTTAAAATTGTCTTTTTTAACATTGTTTCAATCAGTTCAAGGCCGTCTGCTGTCAGTTTAAATCCATTGTGTAACAAATTTAACTCCAATGCTTACACGTTGTTTACCTCACAAACTAGCTAGATATATAGTTCGTAACACGACCACCTCGTTCATAGACAGTTTAAATTGTTCTGACCACGTCTTCATCACACCCTAGAGCGTTAAGAACGTCATTAAAATTATGACCTGCCTTGCCGGTTATAAAACATCAACCAGTGATTATTCTTCTTCGAGCTTTCAAACTGTTAGATAAAACCGGCGACATCTGTTACATCAAGCAAGCTGGTTCTCACCCAACATGTTCTTTATCTTCTTTTCTTATCTGTTGTTCTACCATTTCATTGTATCCTTAAACTGCTTCAAACAAAAATGAATGTCTAAAATGCTAACATGTACCTGTCTGATTATTGCAGAGTTCAATTGTATAGAAAAAAAATCAAATATGGTTGCATAGCATTTGTTTTGCTTATTGATGTCTATAAAGGTTTTAAAATCCATTCCTCATGGGACAAAATTGGTCCCGTCCCGAGGGTCACTTGACTTATAAGGGCTTGCATAGTAATATTATCTTAAAAGACTTCTCCTCAGAAACTTCAAAGCTAAGATTCAGATACCTTGTTTGTAGCCTAACCCTGTGATCTTCTTCAAAATTATGTAAATAATGCCCCTCGGGATTTTAATTTTCCCTGCCCCGGGATTCACTTAGTTTATTTAGACTTGTATAGGAAAAAACATCGAAACTTCATTTGTGAAACTACAATGCCAAGAGCTTTGGCGTATTACCTTGTTTATATCTACATTTGATTTATAAGCAATGCCTCTGGTATCAAAATGACACATCCCTTGAGGGAACTTTATTTACAGAGTTGTTTCGTAAATATTTCTAAAACATTTTCCCGGGATGTACAGCGCTTAAAACTTGGCATGTGGCTTTATAAAAGTAATAAAAACCCTGTCCCTAGGGTAAAAATAAGATCTGCTCTGTGGGTAATTTAGTTTATATAGACTTGTATAGGAAAATACATAGAAGTAAACTTTTGTGAAGTTACAATTACCAAGAGGTTAAATATTTGGCATATACCATTTTGCTAGTGGGTCATTTCAACAGCTGTGTAAGTCATGTCCCTGAAGTAAAATAAAACAAAGCCGTGGGGTCACAAAATAGTAGGATGTCCTTAAATTCCTTTTCCCTGAATGTATCATGTAAAGCGTTTAGATATTTTGCGTGTAGCATCACCTTTGGGTTTTCTACAAAAAATTAATACGTCACAGTTGGTTCTTGTCCCTGGTGTCACTTTTTATAGACATACAATGTACTCGTTCATACTTAAACACATTTCATTAAGTCTTAGTGTAACTTACCATGATGCTTAGATATTTGCAATGCAGCATTTAGAAGCAGACATCTACAATTATTACACAAATATTCAACTTGGGTAAAGATTACAAACCCAGTGTGACTTCATAACTAACTGTAACATTGAAAACAACAATTGTGATATTTTCTTGCAATGCATAAGTGCGCTCTTCTTTTATTTGACCTTTGGCGAGATTGATAAATATTCATATTATTATAAATTAAAAAAAAACAATGTCCACATGGCAATATTTTGTGGAACTTTTTCTTTGTTCTTACTAACCCATTATACTCAGTACACTTTCAATGAGCATTTGAAAACTGTATTGATATACATGTATAGCAGTACAGTTTTTGCATTGATTCAAACAGGAAAAAAACTTTTTTCGCATCTTGTATATATCAGTTGAGTTTTTTTCACCGAGGCTCCATAGCAAAAAAAAAATAAATAAAAATAAGAAAGTAAGAAAGACAATTAATGAAATGTATTCATTCTCATATCTGTTGAATGAATTATTTTCACTGAAAAAGCCCTAAAATCCGAATAACTTTTTTCAGTTTACAATTCGTCTCTAACATTGGACGTTAAGTTTTTTAATATTATATATAATTATATAGCTGTAAGGTAGTTTACGTCATCATTTCTTGGTATTGGTTCATATTATCTGGCAGTGAGAAGGTGAAAAAGTGAAAGGGAATGCACGTTGATGTCGCCCCAGCCAGTGTTATATCCTTATAACTTACTACATTCATATACCTTTAACATAACAATGTACAAATAAAAGCAAAATGCTCACCTAAATACCAACACAAATAGCCTCAAGCTTTAACAAATGTTTTAATGTCACTGCTACTGCATGAAGAATCAGAAAATATTACGGCCCCAAGCATTTTGACATTTAAAAAGAAGATTATATTGACAAAAAAGGTCTAATTTATTGTCATTTTACAGGATGTCACTATTTCAGAAAAATATATGACTATGATTTCACTAGTGTAGTTAAAGTTCAAACATACTTGTTGGTCACTAAACGTAAACATGAAAAAGCAATTAAATCAGGCCTCTTTCCAAGTACCTAAATTTCATGTACTTTTTATGGTCCCCGAAGGGAGAGCATATATATAGTCGCCGCCTTGTCCGTCTGTCTGTCCGTCTGTCCTTCTGTCCGTCTGTCCGTACGTTGTCTTGTCCCGAACATAACTTGTAAACCCTTGGATATAATATGTTTAAACTTCACACAGCGGTAGAGGACATCAAGGCGGAGTGCGGTGTCAAAGAACCATAACTCTATTTTGCCCCGATTTTTGAATTTTGCCCCTTTAAGAAAAATCTTGTCCGTGACATAACTCTAAAACTATAAGAGATATCAACACGAATCTTCGTAGGTACATTGATCTTAATAGGTAGCTGTGCAGTGCACAATAACCGTAACTATGCCATACCTAATTTTGGAGTTATTGCCCTTTGTTCATTTTTACACTTTGAATTTTGTTCGGACAAAGCTCTAAAATTATAAGAGATATCAACATGAAACTATGTAGGTAGATAGATGCCATTTAGAAGAAGTGCAGTGCAAAAAATCCATAACTCTGCTCAGCCCCGTTTTTGAATTATGTCCCCGTTTCCGGAACATAACTCTATAGTTATAAGAGATAACAACATGAAACTTTGTAGGTAGATAAATCTCAATGGGTAGCTGTGCAGTGCATAATAACCGTAACTCTGCCATGCCTTATTTTAGAGTGATTGTCCTTTTTTCATTTGTACACTTTGAACTTTGTCCAAAACATAACTCTTAAATTATAAGAGCTGTCAACATGAAACTTTGTAGATAGATATATCTTATTGGGTAAAAGTGCATTTAAAAAAAACATAACTCTGCTCAGTCCCATTTTTTAATTATCTCCCCGTTTAAAAAAATCTTGTCCATAACTCGATAATTTTAAGAGATATCAACATGAAACTTTGTGGGCAGATATATCTCAATAATTAGATGTGCAGTGCACAAGAACCGTAACTCTGCTTTGCCAAATTTTGGAGTTAATGCCCTTTAATTATTTGTACACTTTGAACTTTGTGTCCGGGATAATACTCTAAAATTATGTGGTATATCAACATGTAACTTCGTAAGTCAATAGATCGCATTCGGTAAAAGTGCATTGCAAAAGAACCATAACTCTGGTTAGCCCTATTATTGAATTATCTCCCTTTTTAGAAAAATTTTGTCCGAGATATAAGTCTATAGTTATAAGAGATTTCAGCATGAATGCAGTGCACAAGAAACGTTACTCTCGTTTGCTTTACAAGAGGTGTACTTTCCTGTCACAAAAACTTATTCGGGGAGCATCACCGGGTTCAAACCGGGCTCTTGTTGTTTCATATGAATCAAGTGCTAGAAGTGTTCAAACAGAATATTCTTCAATATCACATGACAGCTGTACATGTTTTCCATAACTGCATATTAATAGGCGTATTATAGACTACAAAAGGATAGTTCTAACGTCATATGGTATAGAGAATGACTGTTGAATCCTCGCTAAGTGAAACAATCATTTGAGACGCTAAATAGCCTTTTACTACTACTATAATAAAGTTAAAGCTGATGCAATCTGATTATTATGAAAAAATCACCCTTTCATTACTATGAAATAATCAAACGTAAAAGTAGATATTTTCGCATATCTATTCATCATAAACCTGAAAAAGATAATCTTAGTTATTATCTAACATGTACATGGTTTGTAATCATAAACCAATTTCCTCCTCACAGTATTCCATGTAGTTAAGTTGGGTCCAAGAAGGTTATCGTTTAATCAAAGTTGCCTCCTACAAATTAAAACACAGGAAATTGTAAGTTAGGCAGTATAACTTTATATATTGAAATTGACAAAAATGTAATTATCTTTATATAATTAAATAAAACATTTGTGTATTTGTTTCTCTGCGCAAAGAAGAGTCCTCATACAATACAGGATCTGTTTTTTATATTATTTTATGTTATTTATATTCTAAATGATTGGTTCAGAAAGGTTGTCATGGTTGTAGGGCCTATACAATTATACAATGCAAAAATACACTACATAGCATGAACATTTTAACATTCGTTCAATATCTGTTACTTTTGTTATCCAAATACGTCTGTAAGAAAATAAATAACATTAAAAGCTTTAAATTATGTTATGGATATAGTACTTAATTCTAGAAGCTCCGAGCGAAAACAACAATTAACAACAACAACAATAAAAACAACAAAACACACACAAAAACAAAAAAATTAACCAAAAAAAAACAACAAAAAAAACCATAAATAAAAAAAGAGAGAACAACATAACTCTAGACCACGAATTTAAGTTGGATTTCTTGCATTAACATTAAAAGCAGCAACAATCTTAAATTGTCTTTTATAAACAGTTTATTATACAGTCGAGAACCTTTTCGTTTTAAATAATTTATAATACAGCAAACTTTTTTTCATTAGAGAATAAAGAAATTACTTCATAAATTGATAGCAGTCGTTTATTTAAATGTCACGATGATCCAATGATAAGCGACGCTGTGCAGTTGTATAGAGTTACATGAAACAAATAAATTTGGCTATCCTTGATATGATGATATACAGTGTATATTGTTTATTTTGAAGCAGTGCTATAGAAGCATTCGGGGAAAGCTCGCCAACTTCTAATTTAATTAAACTAATGTGATAAATTCTGATTACTAGCCTGAATACAATGTTTAAGATAATTTCAACGCCTTTTGTGAATACAGTTTTGTTAGGAATCATATATATTCTGACAACAACAACTCCGGCTTCAGCCAATGATAATGGTAAGATTTTTTTTGTTATTTATTTAATTACTTTGCGCTAAATTAAATTTTCGCGTCAGACAAAAAGACGTTAGACTTGAAATGACTGATGATTTGTCTCTATTTTTATATCAGGTATTAAATATTTAAAGAACTATGCTATTCATCACCCCACTTAAAGCATAGATAAAGTTTATGGTGATGTTTTAATTCTTTATATACACTGCTGCGAGAAAATGTAATTTGAAGATTCATTTTAAAAATCAAAGGTTGTGATTTTTCAGGCAGTATCATAAATTCGTTATAACTTATTTTAATATATTATATGATTATACATTGTATAATACCCGAAAAACT